GGACGCTGGGACGTTGGTCGCGACGTTGCGCAGCTTGAGACGCGTCCGAATTGCTGAAATCCTTGGGATCGTTCGCACGTTCTGACGACGATCAAGAGAAAACGCTGCGAGTTTACTGCCCTGACGTGCTCTTGTATTTTTATCGGGTTAGTGACGTACGAGGTGCCCATTTTGATCAGATCGTTCGTTTCCTGATGAAATGACTAACGTTTTAGAACTCTTAAACAGGATTCTCGAAAAAGAATTGATTTCGTCGAAGATCTTAGTGGAACGAAATTATCATTATATATACGTTAATATTGTTTTTAACTCTGTAACATTTAGATTTCTAATTCAGATTGAAAGTAATTAGTGTTTCACTTCTGTAGCCGAAGCATATTAAAATATTCAGAGTTCTGGAATGTTTTCCATCGAACAAACACCTTATATGTCATAACCAGATATTGCAAATAACTTCTAAGAATGCCTGCCGTTTTTACATTAGTTTTATAGGAAACGAAACACCATACTGCCCATGTTAAGCCTTTTTATCTCTTATGAGAGCGAACATATTTTACATTAAGTGAGTGTTGACACAATTAAGCAGTGAATTATATAGAGATCTTCTTGATTTATAGTACGCGTGTTAATTATTCATGTATTGACACGTGTTATGGAGCCTAAGAGACAAAGAAGAAAAATATAAGTTTTTATATTCATTCCTGTAAACCGGCCACGATTTTTGAACATCTTTATTGTGCCTGTGAATCACGCGATTCCCAGGAAAATCTCGGGGAATTGACTTTTATGGTTGTTGCGGTTAAGATGGCCACGAGAACTATATTTTTAGTGCCTTCTCGAAAGATGGTCAAGAATAAATTCCACACTATCGATTGCTGTGGTGATAATTTACGGATTCAAGCATTCTTTAAAGACTGTAGCCTAACTTTCGAAAATGTTTACCACGGTGAGAGTCGGGATAAGAGTAATAAAAATTTTATTTGCTTCGTTGCACGAATTTTATGGTAGCTGTAAAATACTTTTACTTTAATGGCGACTGTAACATTTCGACTCCTATTTTTCGAAAATACGTTTTGTTATGTTCAATCAGGAATTTTTCATTGTCAACAAGAGGAAAGGGAAATGGTTTAAAATACCAACACAGATAAAATCGAAATACTTCGCTACGATTTTTATCAGATTCAAAGTAAAATGGAAATCTTAAATTCTCTTCGATTACTATCAATAATGTCTTAAAAGTGTTAGACAACATAGAGTTCTAAATAGTATTTAGATCAAAAGTAAAGTTATTAATAAAGAATGAATCTATTATTGTTTAGTTATCAAATATTCCCGATTCATTCCAACGGCAACAACAAACTGCACAAAAAAAAACGAATCAACTCGTTTTCGGTTAACCGGCGCGAAATATTCCTCGGTCATCTTCAGCGCAACAGGTGTTCTCGATAGATCTGCAAACAAAAATAGCATAAGCAGGTTGAAAGAACCTGTGTCGAAAATCACTGCCAAAGCATGTGCTGCATTAATCGTAAAATCACTTCGCAATCATCCCATTCTCAGAAAATCGACAAAAAAATCGATTTAAAGCGCAACGGGAGGGCAGAAACCGCGCGAACCATTCGTGGACATCATTTTGGACGCGTTCGGTCTGCGTAACGACCGCCGTAACGAAGTGCGTCGACGCGATACTCGATTTATGGAGAGTTTTAAGGATATTACGCGCGGATCTACGTTAATGTACAAAAAAAATGAAGAAGAAGATGAAGAAATTCCTTACGGTACATTTTTAATGATATTAAGTAAACTTATTTCGTAACTGATTTCTCTGATTCATTAACGTGTAACGATAATTATCTATTAATTTAAACGATACGCGATGATCATGCCGGCGAGAACGACACTCGTGCGCGTTTACATCGAAAGCATGCGTGTGTGCACGCACAGCGAAGAAATGAAAGAACGGGGGATGCGTGCACGCGTGTACACATTTATTAATTATTGTACGTTTAATTGTATAATGGCGAAGTTCGACTGTCGAATAAAAGAAGCGCAGCTGGGTTATCGTACGGTTCATAATAAACTGTATCGTCTATTCGCTCTGCAAACTAATGTGTCTCTCTGCGTCGCGTCTCGACTTTTTGAACTTTAATTTTCTCTTCAAGACAGCGGCACCGATCACCCGATGACCCAACTATACTGTCGAACGGTTAAAAAAAATGGCGCGAGCAAGCGAGAACGTTTAGAACTTCCTCGTTTTCGCGGATCGGCCATTCGAGCGTTCAATCTTCGATCGCGAGGGTTTTGCGTTTTCGCCTTCTTTTCCCTTAGGTTTGTAAATGAGGTTTAGCGAGAACGGCTCGAGATTGAAAATTTTGTAAAACTTCTAATTAACTCATAAGGAGATTAATATTGTAATATTGTAAGAAGCATGATCGTTGGCCATACAATGGAGTATAAATATATATATATTATTATTGTATTAATAATACATATATATATTTATGTTAACGTAAGTCTAGATAATATTAAAAATACGACTAT